TCATTTTCCATCGTAAGAAAACATACTGATTTAGTTTTTGTTTTCACATTTTTGTTAACATAACATATCCTGTTGAATATAAGGTAAAAAGGTAAAGCTGCCCCTGTAACAGGCCGTGGAGGTTCATAGAGTTGTGAGACGTCGAGGCTCTCACATTTCCTATACAATCGGCTCACAGATGGCGGTGAGGTTGTCGGCTTTACGCGCACGGCCGCCCTTTACCCCCAAGAAGATTCCTGGTACTCATTAATGTTAGAGGCTGAGTCGACCCCAAGGCCATAGTGCGGCTGGAAGGATTAGGCAAATTGAAAAAAAAAATGCAATGACTTCATTGGGAATCGAACCCCCAACCTTCCGACTTGTAGCATAGTGCCTCAACCAACTACGTCACCGCGTGCCCCATCCTGTTGAATATTCAAAAGAAATATTTGTATTCATAACGTGATCTGCTGGTTATTTTGTATTTCTTTACTGAAGTTCTCGTTAGCAGACTGCATACTTTAGCGACGTTCTCGTTAGCAGTCTGCATACTTTAGTGACGTTCTCGTTAGCAGTCTGCATACTTTAGTGACGTTCTCGTTAGCAGTCTGCATACTTTAGTGACGTTCTCGTTAGCAGTCTGCATACTTTAGTGACGTTCTCGTTAGCAGTCTGCATACTTTAGCGACGTTCTCGTTAGCAGTCTGCATACTTTAGTGACGTTCTCGTTAGCAGTCTGCATACTATCGAAACAACTGTATAGATTTCGAAAGTGCCCGGTTGGCACACCTGCCAACAGTGACCCAGAATTTTCGCGGTTTTCAGAGTCCCCTAAAAAACGGAATAATGTCCTGATTATGCTACGTTCACGTCTTTCCAAATCTTTTACAATATATTATTCACCAATCACCGCACAAGCCGACGTTATATATTCTAAAATATGGAAAGCCTCACAAAACAGACAAGGAAACTGAGTAGATACAAAAAGGTTCTGACAATGGTGTATAACACTCAGAATTACTGGGATTTCGGACTTCGTCCATCGTCCGGTATTCTAGAAACTAGAAAACAGTGTTTCGGAAACTACATCTGTTTCAGTCGTCAGGTGAGGGTGGAGGATTAAGTTTTTTTTTTAATTCGCTTAGTGGGGGGTGGAGTCCAACTGGGTCCACTCGGCTCGGCGGCGACTGATTGGCCTATTGTAGCCTGCCCCGTGTGATTATGATGATGGAGAATTTGGTGGAATGAAGATTGGCAGGGGAAAGCGAAATACTCGGAGAAAACCCGCCCCAGCGTTGTCCACCACAAATCCCACTTGACCAGACCCGGGATCGAACCCGAGCCGCCGCGGTGGGAAGCCAGCGACTAACCGCTTGAGCTATGGCGCGGCCAAGGAGGATAAAGTTAGTTCTTTCCAACGGACCCAACAGAGCAGATGTCTCCCCCCTCACCTGAGAACGGAAACACATCCAGTTTCCGAAACGTTGCTTTTTCTGTTTTCTAGAATAGCGGAAGATGGACAAAGTCCAAAAAGAAACCAGCAGTGCCAAGGAAACTGAGATCCTCATAGCAGGGAATAGACGATATTAAACATTCATTACAAACACAACACATTGCAGTAGTTTCACGAACTCTGCATTGCCTGACAGGAACAGAGCTAGTCAGTTCCAGACTACCAAACACATTTGTCCAGCCAACTGCACTACATTCCGTATCAGGTAATCCTCAAATTTCCTTTGTACCCCACTACAAAGAGCAGTAATTTTCTTAGCTCTGGCTGTTCTACAGGCTGAAGAGGTGGAGACCACGGCGTGGAGCGGGGCAAAATCGAATTGCTCTTACAGGACAAATCAGTTGCCCCTATGCATATATTTCTATTATTTGCTAAAAGCTAGGCCCCTTCAACTGGCTAACCCCTTCACAGAGAACAGAGAAGTCATGATATAAGCAAGCGTATGAAGTTCTCAGTGCCTAACCCATTCTCCTTGTTTAGGCAGAGAACGTTCTTCTGAGTCTACCCACGAAACCTTGACACGGCGCACGAAAATTTCTTTGGCCTTGGCAAGATCTGCTGCAATTGGTAACACGAAAGGGAGCAACACCGCTGCAGATAAAAATATGCTGAAGAGTTGCAGACAAACAGCAACTGTGATAGCAGCAGCTTACGGGCGTAGGTTTCATTTTTTGGAGACATTTCGTTCGGTGAACAGGCCTTCATACTGAGAAGCTTCACGCCTTGTGCCCCTAGCCAAATACAATTAGAGGAGGCTGAGATGAGCAGTGAATGTAACACGCATGGGGAGAAGATGAATGTATATAGTATCTTGGTGGCAAAGCCAGAAGGAAAGAGACTACTAGGAAGATGTAGACGTAGGTGGAAGGATAATATTAAACTAGGATGGGATAGTATTGATTGGATTAATTTGGCTCATGATAGGGGCTAGTGGAGGGCTTCTGAGAACACGGTAATAGAACTTCGGGTTCTATAGAATGTTGGAAAATTCTTGAGTAGGTAAGCAACTGGCGGGTTCTCAAGAAGGATTTAGCTTCATGGAGTTGGTTAGTATGTTAGTTATCTGGTTTTGAACTCAGATGCCATTTCAGCTACTCAGATTAATTGATTTCTGGACATGACTGGCACAATTCTTCCAAAACCTAGCCTATTTAACATTCATGGATACTATTCTTCGTTATCAGACGCTATATGCAGTTATGACAGGGCCTCTGAAGAGAGTTACGAAATCCTGGATTTGACGGACTGTGATGGGTAGGGGTATTTTGGGTTGTGGTGGCGTGTAGTTCGAACACAGCCCGACATTTGAATTTAAATGAAATGTAACAAGCACACAAATAACCGTCACGCTCTGTGCACGTCCGCTTGTGCCATCTGTTGTACCAATGCGGTACTATGCTACAGGACATATTCCAGTTGTGCTGTAGATGCCACCTAACGACGCTACATAAAATGTTTTATTGACGTCCACCACTGCTAGCGCCGCTATTCGGCAACCGCCTAAACTATTACGAATCAGCTGGACACTGGAGGTCGTTTACGTTATTGAGCCCGGCCCCAAAACAAATTATTCATGAAGTTCTAAAATAACAAGAACGGAATACGCAATAAAAACAAGCGAGGGTTACATTAATAAATATGCTTTTGCTTATCTCTTAACGTTTATTTGCGAATCTAAGACACCTGGGGCACGTAAAAGCAGTAAAATGCTGAAAGGGACATTGAGAGATTAGTTTCGGGCTATGCCGTGTTCCGTATCACCGACACTAAAATTACTCCGGGTTCGATTCCCGGCGCTACCAGATCTTTTTCTGAGAAGTAGTGGGTTTGGAACGGGGTCTACTCAGCCTCGTGATGATAATTGACGAGCTATTTCGAGGAAATAGCGGCTCCGGTCTAGAAAACCGAAATTAACGGCCGTGGGGATTCGTTGCGCTGACCACGCGACACTCTCTATCCGCAAAATTTGGCACTAAACTTCGCCGACAAGCGGCGGTCGCTCGGTCGGTATGTTTTTTTTGTTTGTTTGTGCTATGCTTCGAAATGTTTTTTATTCGGGTTTTGTGAGCATATTTTTGTAAAAAGTATTTCTTCAGCTTCTCGCCCTTTGACCTGACACTGAAGCAGCTAATAAGGAATAGAATTTCTAAGCGGAATAAGGGATGATGTGGTGAATAATAATAATAATAATAATAATAATAATAATAATAATAATAATAATAATATGTATGTCTGTATAGAACATCGCATTTAGTCAGCATGGATCGCTTATTACGTCTCGGAGTGCAATTAGATTTGAATCGTCGTTAATTTCACAGCGAAATATAGACACACGTGTATTTATTGATATGCTTTGCTTTAAAGTAGTCAGTATTTCTGCGCCTATGAAACCGACATGAAAAAATCAATAACAGCTCACATATAACTGCAATTGCTTTGTGAATTCACTATTTGTGTTTAATGTCTGAAGTGGCTCTATCACTTTCAAGCATGATGGTCATAGGGATAAGAGAAACTGTGGTATTCTCGAGAATTTTAAAATATTAATTAATTATTGGCTGACGATCACAAAGTTGCGCGGCGGTAACAATCGCTTTAGGAATCGAATCTCTGTCCAGTCGTGGAAAATGAACAAATGTTTTCTGTGTACACGTGTCACCTTAACTGAGAGGTTAGCGTGTAAATTTCTATCAAAATGAGGTATAATCGTTGGATACGTTTCATGAAGTAGACTTTATCAAAGCAGTATTTTGGGACACATCTCCGTGTGTGGATACTAAGTCACAAAGCTATTCGTAATAGAGTTACTTTAATTATATCTATTTTGTCAGTAAAATTCGTAGGGTCTCAGATATATTTGGTTTGGTTTATCCTGGTCCGTCACAATAGCAATGTTATAAGAGTTAATCACCTCCGTCCGGTGTGTCTGATAAAAATGTATTTTCTTTCGTTCCTTTTTAATCTTTCATCCTTGACATGTTTCGGTCTGAGAGACCACCTTCAGAAGGTTATATCAATATAGGCAGAAACTACTATTACAATGTGTTTGGTATTGGTATGTGTTGATATTGACCAAACGCACTGATGGTCTCTAAGACCGAAACTTGTCAAGGATGAAAGATTAAAAAGGAAAGAAAGAAGAAACATTTTATCAGACCCACTGGACGGAGTTGATTAACCTTTTATAATAGTCTCAGATACGTATTAAAAAATCTTTGAGTTAACTCTTAGCCCACGAATGTTGGCGATCTTTGCTCTGAACTATAAATGACTGTAGAAAACCACGAAGTAGGCCTATATACTTCATTCAGACTCGTCACGCAATCTGTTTCTCAAGATGTTAGCACATGATATGAAACATTACAATGTGAGTTGAAATTACCACATTTTTCATGGGTATTAGCAACCTAGCGGCCGTTACAGTCAGTACTAAGATCAGTCGGTTCTGAAACAATACTCACTCATTGCTCTGTAGGTACGAGATTACTTCTCTGAGAATATTACTCACCTCTCGCTGGCGATTGACGAGTTTCGAGACATCGACTTTGGCGACATCTCGAAATCGGAGTCGGATCGATATAGAAATGACTCCCTTCTCTGTGGTAAGTTCTGGAGAACCAAGCCCGCCGACGGGGATGCACCGCCGTCCAGGGGGCTTCTCCCCGGACTTGTGCCATTTTCCACGTCGAAACTGTAACAAGGAAAAAATACGTTAATGCAAAGAGACAAAAGGTAAAAAGCTATCCCTCTAACAGACCGTGAAGGTCCATAGGGTTGTGAGACGTCGAGGCTCCCACGTTTTCTCTAGATGATCGGATCACAGATAGCGGTTAGGTTGTCAGCCTTACGCGCCGGCCTCCTTTACCCCCAGGAAGATGTGGTGGTGCTGCTTAATAAGCTGCGATAATTTCACCATGTATCCAGACGTACAGGAACGCACAAATCAATACTGATATGACAATGGAGTTTACGAAAATATGTATTTCCCCTTTACAATGAAACGAACAAATATAACACAGCAGTTTTCAAATTTGGATTTTTTTTATGGAAAACAAATGTACATTTAAGACGCGTAAGTATGTAATCACGAAGAAAACAATTTTCAAGTCATTTTTCGAAGCATGCAAGAAACTGAAATTTTAATTTACAACACAAATAGCAAGGTATACGTCTAGTAGAAGTTTAACATTTTCACGTAATATGAAACACAGATTATAAGTTTTCACTCAACTGACAAATGGCAGTGTACTGCAAGAGAGAATATATCTTTCACACCTCACACTTCTTCCCAGTCTGTACTGCGCAAATGCTGTAACTCACTTTCTGTAAGAATAATTTCAATTTAAAGAGCGTTATTACCGAAACGCCGAATCTGCATGTTATAAGTTACAGAACGTAATCAAGCCTCTGTACTCTTGGAAAACACATACACTTCACACTCGGTCTCCATGCGCACGCTAACCTGAACACAACAAAACAACGAACGACATTTGGTCACGCACTGTGGCCTCGTCTCAAAAGGAAGTGGTCATTACTTCCTTGAGCACAGGACCGGTGCTCTCAGAAAAGGAACTGTCAACATTCTGTGCAAATTGGATTTCACGGAACGAGGAGTAAGCTCTAAACGCATCGTGTTTGTTCAGGTAATTATATTAATCTACTCACCTTAAGGCACTTCAACTGTGTAATTTCGTTTCAACATTTATATTTCTCTATACCCCAAAAAACTACACAGGATAAATAAAATGTTGTGATATGAGGGCTGAAACCAGAATAGTGGAGTGAGAAGAGATGGCCGTTGCTAGAAAACGTGGGACTAAACACGTTTCCACGGAGCGGTAAACATGCTTCCGCGGCAACGAAAACGTGACGCCACAACAGAGGAACTGACGGGTAATTGGCAGGCAACGCGGTGTTTTCTGTTCTGTCCGTACCAAGTTTATATAGCGTGAACTACGGGGAATTGCCGTTGTAGCATAAGATACGTACGATAGGCGTGATCTGCTTTGCAAAGCCCGTACTGACACAGGACTTGTATACAGTGCACAAGGAACAATTTTCAATAACACGCTGTATGTGTGATACGTATATTTGATGAAAGTAAAACACTTTCATGAGAGACAACCCCACCTTCTCGTCAGAGAGGATGTTACATAAGGACTATGACCGCAAGGATTCTGTTAAAAAAAATCTCTGATCGTGAGTCTCAAGGGGCTTGGCGCCTAGATGAACTGTTTAGCGGTAAATTGTCAGTCGTAAAGTAAATCTGATTTTGGACCTCGCCAGGAATAAATGTGCTGGCGAAGGCCAGCAACAACTTAACCGACGGACTGAAGTCAGTCATTCGAGAATGTAAGTCGCCGTCATGGGTTAGATGCGAGACAGTCGCCAGCTAGTAATGACGCAAGCACGGAAAAAGAGGATATTGTTGGAATCCGTTACCCGGCAACGACTTATGACACAGCAGACTGGGAAGACA